GTGAATTCTACAAAACATTCAGTGAAGAATTAACACAAATCTTTTACAAATTCTTCTAAAAACAGAAATTTAAAAAACATTTACCAACTCAAATCTATGTGATCATAATACCAAAACCACACAAAAACATCTCAAGAAAACAAAAGATCAATATTTATTATGTCTACATAAAAATTCTCAACAAAATACTAACAAACTGAATCCAGCAACATATAAAAGGATTATATACCATGACTAAGTAGGATTTATACGAGAAATGCAAAGTTGTTATCAGTCAATGTCATACAACAAATTAAGAGAATGAAGGAAAAATGATTTTAACAGACACAAATTTCATTTGACAAAATCCAATACCCTTTCATAATAAAAACACTTAACAAAGAATGAATAGAAGGGAACTTCCCCAACCTGATGGAGTATGTATGAAAAACCCACAGCTAACAACATATTTAACAACAAAAGACTGAATGTTGTAATCCTCATGTGAGACATAAGATGCAGATGGCTGCTCTCACCACTCCTATTCAACATGGTACTGGAGGTTCTAGCCATAGTAATTATACTGGCGAGAAAAAAAAAAAAAGTATCCAGATTGGAAAGAAAAAAGTATAACTATTTCTAGTCTCAGATGACATGATCTTGTATATAGAAAAGCCTAAGGAACTAAAGAGCCAGAGGGTTATATGAGCCATGTATATGAACATTAGAAGCCCTTAGGATTGTGGCAAAGCTTACAATAAAGAGGGAAAGTGAGTCAAAGTCCAAGATGTCTGTAAACTACAGTATGGACCAGTAAGGAGGAGCTGATACAGCCAAATACCCTAAGTGTCAAAGGAAAGAGACTGAGTAGTAATTCATTCAGAAGTAGCAATGAGAAGTAAACCCAAGACCCCACTCAAAACTCTAAAGAACTAAAGTAACTAAAAAATAAGAATTCTTCATTCTAAGAATGCTGGTGGGGAATCACTACATTTGGGAAAGAGGTTTCAATTTCAATCAGAAAATGTACAAAAAGAGGTCAATGTGTGAGTTTGTTAAGATCTGAGAGAATTCCATATAGCATAATAGAAAGTATAGGGAAAAAGGGAGGTCTGGGAGAACAGAGGGTGAAAAATTAGGCCAAGTGAAAAGAGAGCACAGTATTATAATAAAAATACAGGTCCCCAACTTAGGGTGGTTCTAATTACAATTTTTCAAATTGATGATGGGATGAAAGTGGTATATGTTCAGTAGAAATCGTACTGAGAATTCTGAATTTTGATCTTTTCCTGGACTAGCAATACGTGGTACAATACTCTCTCATGATGCTGGGCAGCAGCAGTAAGCCACAATTCCAGTCAGCCACATGATCACAAGGGTAAACCACCAATACTCTGTAGTGTATTCATTGTGTTAGGTGATTTTGTCCAACTGAAGGCTAATGTAAGTGTTCTAAGCACCTTTCAGGTAGGCTAAACTAAGCTATGATGTTAGGTAGGTTAGGTGTATTACATGCATTTTTGACTTACGACATTTTCAACTGACAAAGGGTTTAACAGAACTTCACTCCATCATAAATTGAAAATTTTGTATAGTGGAAATAGATCAGTGTTTCTGAACCACCAGTCCCCTGAATTATGGATAAGACATAATCCTATAATTATGACAATGTCAGGAACTGAAGGACAGACAGAACAGGGAACCAACACCCAAGAAGTCATAGAATGGAAAGAGAAACTTTTATACATGCAATATTAAAAACGATCTGGGATTAGTACACCAAACCTTTTTATATCAAGGCACAGAGAGAAAATGATAGTTTTTTTTTAAAGATTTTATTGATTTATTTTTAGAGAGGGAAGGAAGGGAGATAGAGAGAGAGAAACATCAATGTGTGATTGTGCTGGGGGTTATGGCCTGCAACCCAGGTATGTGCCCTGGCAGGGAATCGAACCTGCGACACTTTGGTTCGCAGCCCGCGCTTAATCCACTGAGCTACGTCAGCCAGGGCAGAAAATGATAGTTTTAAGGTATGCTGGAGTAAGGGTTGTCTTGCAGAAGGAATCTCTCTCTACCACCCATCCCCATAACTAGCTCTAGGGGTCTAGATGTCGCAAACTCCAAATGAGATGATTAACTTAACTCTTCATGACAAAATGGTATGCCATAGCACATGTGTTGGGAAATTCTGCGCTACATGAGTCATATTAGAAACCCCCAAGAATGCTCTGCATTTCTCTCTCTTCATTAAGAATTACCAATGTGGTAGATCACTAGTCCTTCAAAATACATTGTATAGAAGAGATTTGCATCATATGTTTTGGGAAATGGCTACATATTCTATCTTTTCCCACCTTGTGCAAAATCACAATACTATATACATGAAAGGCACTGTGGAATCTATTGAAAACCTCATTTAACTTTGTTTAATTTGTTCATTCCCACACTCATCTGATCAGCGATATCTACACCTACTGACATCCAGGAAAATTATTTTTGGAAAAGGTGGCTTAACTTTTCTGACAGATAAACTAATCAGCCTCAGCTTGATCATTCCCAAGGACAGAGATTACCGCCACCAAGTAATCTGTTCCATTTGTATAGTCTGATTAATAGCCTCTCACTTTAAGCTGAAATTTGCTACCCTTTATCTTAAATTGCACAGTTTTGCTACCTACAGTTAGAAATCACACCTATTCATTCCTCCAAATGACCTAGCAATCCAGTTCTAAATGTAGAGTAGTTCTTTGAAAATGCCACACTATTTCATAAATGGTTTTGCACATTATTTTTTTATCTGAATATTCATCCTTCTCCTACAGAAACCACTCCTCTGCAATCTCTACAGTCATACTTATCAGTTCAACAGTAACTTCCTTTATATACCATTATCCCAGACAACAACCAGTTGCTGCTTGCTTCTACAGTCCTATAGATACCACTCTATTGAAGCACATGTCATCACTACCCTACACTAATACTGCATTATAACTATTAACAATCTGTCACTCCCACAGACTCAACACCCTGTCAGCAGGAAGTATCTACTACTCATCTTTTTATGGAATGGAAGAGGCACATGAATCTTCTACCTAACCAATAATTGCAATGATTCCAACTGAGCCCACACACTGCATAATTCATTTTATCATCTTCAAAACAATGCTTCAAGAAGCTATTACCATTCCACAGCTCTCACGCAATATACAAATTTATCCCAGCTTGAGATTTGAGCGGAGTTCAACATATAAGTTCTCAATGAATATTTGTGAAATGGTTGAAGAAATCTTATCTGAAGTATAAGCAATGGTTCACATTTTAGTTAGACTTCTAAATTTTCATAATCGAGCCTTAAATTTACCTTTTTATATACCAACCATCAAAGATGAGGGAAGTAAAATCTTCAAATGAAGACTATCTTTATATCAGATTTGTGTGTGATAATACCAACTCTCTGACGTCCACTCCTTATCAAAAGCCCAGATGTGAGAAACGGAACAGCCAAAATAATGACTGAGAGGATATGTACTGCATGCATTCTTTCAAATCTGCTAAATTTTATCCTTGCATCAAATTATACCAATAGAGCCCTGGCTGGTGTAGGTCAGTGGATTGAGCGCGGGCTGGGAACCAAAGTGTCCCAGGTTCGATTCCCAGCCAGGATACATGCCTGGGTTGCAGGCCATAACCCCCAGCAACCGCACATTGATGTTTCTCTCTCTCTTTCTCTCTCTCTATCTCCCTCCCTTTCCTCTCTAAAAATAAATAAATAAAATCTTTAAAAAGAAAATGAGTTTCTTTAAAAAAAAAAATTATACCAATAGAAAGATCTTTAGTTGGACATCATTTCATGACACACTGTAGAACCACCTTTTCTCACTTGGACTAAAGTTCTCTGCAGCTTACTGAAGAACATAAGTAAGAAATGAACTTAAGGAATTTATCATTATTTCTACTTTGGGAAGCTCTCTGAGACCTGCCCACTATATCACAAGGCATTTTCCTTACAAGAATGCATACAAAGCAATCTTTTTTTAGGTTTCTGTCTCATAAAAGCCAATCTTTTCAGGAGAAATGTGCCCTTTATTTTATGTATTCTGTAACTCTCATAATAGATCAAGTTTTGTTCTTTGCTTTTGCTGCAAGGAATGTTACAGCCAAAATTTTTTTCTTACTTCAAGAACTAAATGAGGCCATATGTTTCCCTTCCACTACTTCTTTTCCCAATTGTATTACTTGTATTGTAAATTAGCTCCAAAATAACCTCAACTCCCCAGTGGAACACAAGGAGAGTAAAAAGGAAAAAGAAATTAACAGCTACCACTGGGTGCCTACTGTAAGCCAGGCAGGCACCCGATCCTTAAACAGTAAGGAAAAGTTATTATAAGCTATACTCTACAAATGATAAACTGAAGTACAGAGGATTTAAATAAACCACTTAAACTCACAAAGCTAATATGTGCCAGGCCAGGGTTTGATCCCAGAGCTGAATGACTACAGAGCCATATTGTACATAAGGTCTAAACAAATTAAAGACTACTATGTTATGCTTTGAAAGGAATAGAATTCTAGCACTGCACAGTACCTTCTTTTGTTTTCTATAGTACTTGAGAAATTTTTAAACTTCAACTTATATACGCCAAAGACTTGGCACTAATTCTACATTATTCAAAAAACAACAAATTTCAACAAAGTCAACATTTAATCATATGCGAATGAGAACTAGAAAATCACACCAAAACTTTAAGTCCAAATAGCAGACATAAATAAAATATTTATACTTATGATAAAGTTAACAAAAAAAGATTTGAGCCAAAAGAAAAAATTAGACATGCTATTCTAAATAGTACCACATTTAGTACCACAAACAGTACTACAAATCCTGCATGTTCATGTTTAACTTGCAATGTTTATTGATGTCCACTAAAAACCAGGCCCCACCCAAAAATAAGATTTTTGGGGGAGAGGTAAAGGGGAAATTATGACTCAAAATTAATCAGAAGATAGAAAATTAGACTCACCTGCTCAAGTCACTTTTTCCATGGTGATGATAGCGGTCAGGATGGCTGAGGTGGTAATGTTCTTGTCCACTCCATCTCTGGGGTGGCCTTTTCCAAAATCCTTCCTGAGACTGCCGGACACTTCTGTCTGATCGATCAAAGCGATTCATATTGTCACGCTCCACTAGGCAGATTCAAAAGTAAAACAGTATAAATGCGTACATACTCTATAAAAACTAATCATTTACAGTTTGGCCATTAAATGCTGCTGAAATTATAAAACATTCTAAAAAATATCAATCATTTGTTAGCTAATCACAAAATCAAGATTTCCAGAAGAAAAATAACCAGTTCTTTGGTAAAAACTGGAGTTTATATCATTTGAACTGAAGAAAATTATTAAACCTTCATATCACAGTCACTTAATAATTAATGGTCCCAGTTTTAAAACAAGCAAATTATACTTGAAGTCAACATTATACATTTTAAATACCAATAATCAGTTTTAAGTGGTTTCATCATTATCACTAGTTGGTTCTGACTTCAGAATGAAAATAAGATTTTAAGTCTAGTAGAGAATTCATTTCTGAAAATGAATGTCACAATTTATTTTCCCTGATTTCAAGAAGCACAAATTAGCTTTTCATCACAAACAAATCATATTTTTTAATTAAGCTCACAGTTTTACAAAGACGCTTCGATCTGCCTGCCGTAAAGCTTGTTCAATAAGTTTAAAATGCCACGGAAAACAAAGCCAGTCCTTTGCAGCAACAAATAGTACACTCCCTGAAATCCAAATGCCACAAAAACACGAAAAGAATCTCTCTGAAATACCCCATGCTTCTCCTTCACTTACCCAAACACTTTTTCCTCACATATCTGAGCACTCACTAAGAGAGTTACTTTGTACAAGGGAGACATTGTGTTGCCTGCTGCCTACTCCGACATAGTTGCGCACAAGGCACTGACAAACAGGCCTTCCTTCCTGCTTGATTCCCAGCCCTCCCTGTGGGAAGCCAGCCCAGTTTACCCTGTGATTCCATCTTCGCCCAATGCTTACATAGCTACTGAGTTAGGACTGTTACTAAAAATATAACTCAACACTAATCCAAGCTAGGAACAGGAAAGGATTCTGTAGTTTGAGAATTATTACACAAGAAAGTTCTTATCGTGCATGTTCAGAATTCCTTGTGATAAAAAAGCTTTAAACATCAGTGTAATCCCTTATTTAAAAAGAAAACCTCATTATTTAAGTGACTGTTTTCACTTAATCTAAAACTTGAATTTGAAATGCAGAGTTTCATTACAGTATACCAGATGAAAAACAAACTTTCACACTCCAAAGAAAAAATGATGCACTTAAAGTATAGATGTTCATTCTCATGTACACTGAACTCACTGTAACATATTTCTTCTAAATGCATAATTCAAATAATGTTTTAAAAGACAATGAAATTTTGTTTGAATTCATTAGATGAATAAATTTTGGGAAAACAACTATATGTTTTATAGTTTTTAAAAAGACTTTTTTAAGAAAAAAATTTAAAAGAAGCCTTACACTGGAAATTATTTCAAACAATTTCTTATAAATTAAAATCTACTTTTTAAAATTCAATTATAGAAAACCAGCCTGGTAGGTAAATAAAAGCATGGTGACCATGATGCCTCCCCCAAAAAAATCATTAGTAGAAAATGAAATTACAAAAAAAAAATCTAAAAATAACCCTACAAAGGCATAAAACTGTGTTTAATTTATATCTGTATCATACTCATAGACTTGGTTAAGTTCCTTAAGTATTTCTACATGGCATTAAAATGTTAACGTTAGTTTAAGCAATTCTATACCGCTGAGAGATAATCTATACCTACTTTTAAATGTTCTGAGTTCATATTTTTTTCAAGTCAGGCAAATAAAATTCAACTCACTCCCCACACAAGAAATTCTATAATAACATCTGATATGTAATTAGCACATCATCAACACAGTGCACAGAGTAACAAGAAGCAAACAAACCAGGCAAACAGGTCAGAAGATAAGATTAAATACTGTGGGAAATTACAATGCAAAAATGGATGTGAGGGCTTTTCTGTTTACTAAAGGTTGTTGGTACTATACACAGCCTTTAAATTAAAGTACCTTAATTGAAATATGAATTCAAAACTGGGCATAATGAAAAATGAGTACTAGAAACAAACATTTGTCATGACCAAAAAAGATGACTGGTAGAAATTGAGAAAGAGAGGCTTACTTCTCAGAGAAAAGACTGTTCCAAGATTTTGTAGGATGGGTCCTGCTATACTTCTACTTGAGGCTCCCATCAGTTGCATCTTAATATACTTTAAAATGTTACTAAGAAGATAACGTGAAGTAACATCAGTGGTAGTTTCTGAAAAAAGGTTGAGTTCTCCAACAGAGTTAAAGAACTAATATAGAAAGAAAATGAAAGCAAATGAAATTACAAAATGGAGATAAATCAAAACTAGTTTTCACAGCCAATAAAGAAACGAGACAAAGAAGACTATGAAAGGAAATAAATCCTGAATGTGTGATATCATAGGAAATGATGGGGCAAACCTGCAAGCATCCTGGTTTGGAAAAGTTTTAATCCAATATGCTGATCAAAACTATCTATACACAGCGGATTCAGCTCTAGCTGTGAGTTTATGACTGATGAATAAAGGTCTTTTGAAAGAGGTTCCCAGCTCCCAATGTAAAAGGCAACACATTTTAGTACGTAGGGTTTTTTTACTCTAAGTAGGAGACAGATAATACCAGGATTTCTACGCTCTGAGGCAAAGAAAATCTAACACAGCTAACTGACAGGTATGGCAAAATGGAGATGCCTATGTCTAACACTCATCATACTCGTTTCTTCTAATTTGATAAAGGAACAAAACATGAGAGCCAAAGTTGTCTAGCTTACTTTTCTGGTAGCTTGTCCTAAGAAGGTAATGGAAGACACAGATAGTAATATTTCCAATATGTTGACTAACAATTGGCTATGAAGATAGTGGGAAGAAATTATACATCACAAAGCCCCCAAAAAATGTGTTTTGCAGGATGTTTTAAAATTTGATCAGGAAAAGTTTTAACTGAAATTTGGCTTGAAAGAGGAAAAGCCTGTGTAAAAAGGAAAAAAAAATAAAACCATGAAACTTGCTATTACTAAATACAATCAGTACTCAAAAATATAAATTTCTAAAAGAAAGTACAGTAACTGGAAAGTGGGCAAGAACAATACTACTAACCTCATAGGGGCTATACTTCAATAATAAGTTTAGCAAAAATGTGGCCTTAGGAAAAATAACATAAGTGTGATTTAATAGGCACCATAACTTGGTGGGGTGGAATTCATGAGGTAGACATCTTTTCAACTCAGAAAAGTTTAAAACCAGAGTGAGTAGAGGAAACAGCACATATAAGAATGGATACATAATAGAAATGTCATAAGTCTGAATATTATACTGTGAATGTGCCAAATGCTAGGCTTTAATCCATAGGCAAAGAATGACTATCAGAAGTTCCTGGGCAAGAGAGTAATACAACACAACTACACTTTTGATATAACTGTGAAGCCTGAAAAAATAAATAAGACAGCTACTAAGAAGTGTTCCTTGTGTCTAACTGGGCTCAGATTTTAAAAAACAGAGCCTAGCAACCATTTGTACACAGAGGTCTCTCACACAAATTATAATTCACAAAGAAGCCTGGGCTGAACTGCCTGCCTCTGTGCTGAACTGACTGGCTCTGCTTTAAACTGCCTACCTGCACTGGGTTTCCACCATCTGAGACTGCCCATATAAAGAAGTTCCTAGAATCATATTTCAACCAATAGGATTGAGGCTTTCTCCATCCAATCAGAGCTATAAAGCTCTGAGCAGCTCTAATCTGACCAATCAGGACAGTGCCTTTGGGACCAATCAAACTGAAGATTTAGTGCTAAGTTGCATGAGGATGGACCAATCAAGAACCGAGGGTGGGGACTCTGTCCACACGAGCCAGCTTCCTCCAGCTTTGGGAGCATACTTTCCCTTTCCACTGAAGATTGAAGACTGTGCCTCCCTGGTTGAGTTAATAACTGAAGATGTCTCATCAGAGCAAGGCAGAACAGCTCATCGAGGAGCAGAGCAAAGCTGTGTAGCTAGAGAGGGGCCTGGCCCCAGGGCTAACTGGCCCCAGAACTGTTCTATTAGACAATTCTATCACAATTGAGTTGTTCCACAGCCATGCTGTTTTTACAGCCGTGTTGCATCACAGTTGAGCTGTCTGCGTTGAATAAAGTTTCCTTCTTCATCACACCACAAATTGGGGATTCCCATTGGCAATGAATTGACACCAACTATCACCAGTTGACATACAAAACTGTTCAGTTAAGGAGACATTTTAGAACAAATCTCAAATACCTAATGGTCTGCCAAAATACATTCAGATTCCAAAACTGTTTCCTTAAGAGATTCCTCGATCATGGTAAAAGAAAAATATAAAAGAATTAAAACAATTTATCTTTTACATCCTCCTGAATTGTAACTCAACCCAAAAGTCCTTTCTCCTGTTATTCCTCTTCCCTCATTCTATGCTCCTTGATTTCTCTCTGCACAATCTCTCCCTCTGACTTGTTAATTTTCCCCCAAAGCTGGCCAGAAACCTAAAAACCTATTAAAGTTAAACCTCCTTCAGAAGAGGGGTTAAAACCCTTTAAGGTTTTGTTTTTTTTTTAAGACCTGGTGTCTCATTCTGAGCTGAGAGCCATGGCTACATACTTTCAAAGGTCTAAACAAGGTCGTTAGAAATTTGCAGAATAATTTAGAACAGTATTAGGAATTGATAATCCAGAGCGCCCCACCCCCCCGCCACCTCCCCGACCTACACCATTAAGCTCATACATTAGAGGAAACTCCAGAAGAAAAAAAAAAAAAAAACACACACAAAACCCAGAATGGGAGAGTACAGTGCAAAGAACTTGAAGATAACTTAGGAACCCATGACATTGTATAGAGGAGGAAAAAAGTTTTTCTCTATGCTCTTAAAGTCTGAAAATTAAACTGACAATACAGATTAACAGGGGAAAAGCATACAAATATATTTAACATAATACATGACATGGAGCCTTTGTAAGGAAATAAAGATCCAAAGAAACCATTAGACCTGTGTATTCTTATGCTATGTTTGATGAATACTAGGCAGTCATGAAAAAATATGACTGGTTAAGGAGTATTAGGTAATTGTAGAAAACCAGGGAATATTTAGCAAGGCCTATTGTTTAGGATTATCCTTGATGTCCTTTTGTCTTCAAAGAAAAGGATGTATAGGGAGGGCAACTCCTACATGAGGATTTTATAACCAGTTTCAGGAAAGAAGGGCAGAGGGGGGAAAAGGTCCAAGTGTCTTTTCCCTCCTGCTATCTTCTTAAATTCTTTCAGCTTAAAATACTCAATATGCCAAGGTGCCATATTTTGGGGTAGGGAGTCCTGAACCCAACTGCACACACACACACAAAAAAAGAAGTTAGAAAAGGCCTTTCAGAGGCTGTCAACAAAATATTTTCTGTGAACACAGACTGGACTCTGATTCAGCTCTGTAAGTAAAGACAAAACCACTGCAGCCTTCAATGATAGACTAATACCCTTAGATAACATTCAAGAGTAGATTCTGAAAGAGATGTGACCCTATCTTTCTCCTCACTTTTCTGTGAAAAATTTTAAGGCAGAGATACTGTAAATGGCTTCACTGACAAACTTCCAGTTCTTGGAAAGAACCTTAGAAAAAAAAAGCAGAATGAGACTCAGAATATAGTCCTTCACATATAGCAACTAGATACCTCCACCATACTCAGTTAAATACTGGAGGAGAGAATCTCTCCTCTTAACACATTTACAGATAATATAAATAGCAAGGCATTCAAAAAATAAGTATCCTGCCCCGGATCGTGCGGCTCAGTGGATTGAGCACCAGCCTGCCAACCAAAGGGTCACTGCTTCAATTCCCAGTCAGGGCACATGCCTATGTTGCAGGCCAGGTCTCCAGTAGGGGGTGTTCAAGAGGCAACCACACATTGATGTTTCCTTCCCTCTTTCTTTCTCCCTCCTATCCCCTCTCTAAAATTAAATAAATAAATAAAACCTTTAAAATATGTATTTTTAAAAAAGTGTCCTATATTTCATTAAGAAATAAAATAGAAAAAGCAAAGTGGGTGATGAATCAAAATGTTCTGAGAAAGAAACCAAGTACCCAATTTCTGGTTTCACCCTTAAACTCAAAGAGAAATTTCTCTAAATATTTAAGGACAACCTTGAAATGTTTTGATACCGATACTACAATATCAACCTACTACTTCTACATAACCTCCCCCTGTGTCACCAAACCACTTAGGTTTGAGTAAGTCCAATAACTCTCAAACAGTTCTCAAATCCTAGTCCAAGAAACATTCGACCAATATTCATGCCTCCTCTGTGCTACCATATATGCTGGTTTATAGGTAATGATTTACTATATGTATGCAATTGCCAGATAAATATTCTCATGGCTTCTACCTTGAAATCACAGAAGAGTCACCTATTCATAGTGAAGCCATTGCAAACTTTTGTCCAAACTGAAGATCCCAACGAGGTAACAGTCTTCTTATTGGCAAATATTCTACCCACATTTGTAGAATTAGTGAGTTGAACCCATCAATGTTCAGAGTGATCCATCCAGAAACTTGACTCAAATTTGCCCAGTAGCCTCAAAAACCAGGTTCTAAAGAGAACTCCAAACAATAGTCAAAAGTATGTTACAGGACTCCTTAAACCCTGTTTGGTCCTCTTAACATTCATATCCTCCCAATCAAAAAAACTCCATGGTTGGGTGTAGTATTATTCAGGATCTCAGAGCTACAAAGACACTAGTCATTCCCTAATTACTGGCAATGCCAATCTTAAACACTACTTTATCTTTAGTGCCTCTGAAGGCAACATATTTTAGGTTCATGTCCTGCTTTATTCAGTATCCATTAGCTCAAAATCAATATTTGCTTGTCTTCTAGGAAAATCTATAAAATATGTGAGATGTACCTCAGGGATTCCCTCAGACTTTTCACAAGTTCTAACCAAAACCTCAAAAAGTTTAAGTTTCCTGTGATTCTACTTTTATGTGATACGTGGATAACTTTTTGTTGTGTTCTAAAGATAAGACAGCCTCTAAGACCCACTCCATCTCTACTTCCTGTTTTAACTCAGAAAGGGGTAGTTTCCAATGAGAAGTGGTTATAATTCTGGAAAAGTAAAATGCACTATTTAGGATGTGATTTATACCCATTAGATAAATCCCTTGCTCCTCACAACCAGCCCTTAAAACTTCATATTAAATATCCTGAATCATAAAGTCTCATTATTTTCCCCTATAATTTTCAATGCTTTATGTTTCTCCTCTGTGTTCTACAATATTTTTCTACTTGATCTTCCAGGCCACTAACTCATATTTCAGTAGCAGCTATTCTATCATCTTCTGAACCATTCTGTGGGAAAATCTTCTCTTTACAGCTCCACAAAATATTGTGTTGCAATGGCCTCTCCCAAGTGCTCTCATTTTCATCTCCTTGAGTCACTCTAATTCTGGGAGTTCTATTGCTTTCCCTGTTCTCCATCTTGGGTGCTAGCTGTGATTTTTCTTTCTCAGTTGACTGGAACTCAGTTTTGGTAGCTAGAGTATCCCAAGTGACAGCAGAACCACAAGAAGGTACAAGTCTCTACCCCAGGAGTAGAGTAGATACTGTTATCAGCTTGCCACTCCCTGCTTTAATAGAATTATACATTTAATGTCCTCTGTTGCAGAACTTCTCATTGTGAATAGTGTATATCTCCCAGTACCACTGGCATAGAGTTAATAGTGTGCTAGTTCCAAGTGAAGACTTTAAGAGATGATATATGTATGTTTCTGCTCACCCTGTTGTCCTTCTGCCATCTGCCATGAGAGAAACCTGCTCCAATTTTTCCTGCTCTCAAAATGAAAAATAAGTAGACCTGAACTCAGTCCCATAGCCTTAGCCATCCCAGCTAATCCACAGATCCACAAATGAGAAAAGTAAATGTCTATTTTGAAAGTCACTGAGATTTTGAGATTGATTGTGACAGAGCATCCTGGCAGCACACACATACACAAAACATACAAAAATAAGCCTGATCAATGTGAAAAATGTAAGCAGCAACAGGCTCCTAGTACCTTAATAATGCACTAAAACCACACAGCTACCTTCTCTGAAATACCATTGTATTTTTCTAGCATCATGTATAAAAAGAACTTCACCACCCTTTTTAGTTCATCGCTGATCCCTGGGAGGCCAGAGAGACCAGGCAAATGTTGACTAACAGTGAATCTATAGATCTCCTGAGCCATTCCTCTTGCCAAGAGTGTCCCCATCTCAACTTATATCCCAGAAGCTTTACTAGGCTGGTCTCTCATTCTTGACCAGTCCTTAAGATAGAAAATCCTACAAATGCTATGTCAGTAGGGGTACAAGCACCCAGGCCCCGTTTGCATATAGATTATCTAAAGCCCCACTCCAACAGTTACTGGGGTCCACAGGGGAAGACAGACTGGATTTCAGAATAAAAAGGGTAGAATGATTTATTCAGAAGGTCACAATTTTCCCAGATTGATCTTTTAAAAATATTTATTAACAATAATTTTTAACTGATACATCACAAGTCAAAAGAATTTCTTGTTGGAATCAAAATGAGAAAAAGGGAGAAAAATTATGTATGTATATAGGGGAAGATAGGCCAAATCCTATCTACTAATTTTATGGTATAGATATATAATATTATTGGGTCATGCAGATAATGTCTAGGACCTACAAAATCAGGTTTTAAACATTTACATAAATTTGCAATGAACCTATTTAATATCACTTAAGCTTGATTCTCAGTCTAAAAAGTCTTCTTCCACTGAAATTAGGAAGTCCATAACAAATATCAAATTGGCTTATAGTCAAGTAGCTAAACTCTTTGCCTTTAAAGGTTCAATACTGTCCCCACTTACCATTTTCAAGAGGTGCATCCTCAGGCAGATCCACATCCAGCATAAGGTCATCCTCCTCAAGGTCACATGATTCAAGATTATTCAGAATATCCTGTGAACAAAAGCAGTAAAAATGCTATATGACCTAGCTCAAGGATGTGTGTAATCATTAGTTCTTTTTTTTTAAAGATTTTATTTTTTTATTTATTTTTAGAGAGGGAGGGGAGGGAGATAGAGAGAGAGAGAAACATCAGTGTGAGGTTGTGCTGGGGTCATGGCCTGCAACCCAGGCATGTGCCCTGACTGGGAATCAAACCTGCGACACTTTAGTTCGCAGCCCGCGCTCAATCCACTGAGCTACACCAGCCAGGGCTAATCATTAGTTTTAAATAAAAACATGACTATGTGATAATCTGAATTTACTCAATGTTTATTGTTATAAAAACAGATCTTGTTGATAAAATTTCTTAAATAAAAGGTAGACTCAACTGGTTTACCTGATTAAGCTATTTGTAACATTCTTCTCTAAGGTATTCCTCCCCAATACATTTTAATTTTTATTTTGAAAAGCTTACAAACTTTAAGATATTGTTCTAAGTACTTTATAAATATTCATTTATTTTTCAACATAATCCTATGATTTCATGACTAGAATAATTGCCATATTATATATCATGACTTTAATACACAGAGAGTCTAAATAATCTGGCCAAAACAGGATATAAACATAGGATAACATAAATAATCAAAGATAATAAAAGATCTCCTAAAATTTATTCATATTTGGTATAGGAGGTTTTGCTTTATTATCTCTAAGGACTGGATAATTTATATAAAAGTAACAAAATAATCCTTGAATGATGTGATTATTCCATTCCTTTCTTGTGCCAAACCTACCTACCTAACTTTAGTATGGTACCAAAAGTAACTCCTTGGTTTGCTTTAATTCATTTGGAGTACTCAAATTTCTATTAGCAGCCCATCCTGTTCTATTTGCAATCTTACTAGCGATCATCTATCCTTAAAAAGGTAATGTTTTATCCTGGCTGGGTGGCTAAGTTAGTTGGAGTGTTGTCCTGTACACAAAAAGGTTGTGGGTTCAATCTCTGGTCAGGGCACATAGGGGAGGCAAATGATCAATGTTTCTCTCTCGCATCGATTTCTTTCTTCACTTCTCTTCCTCACTCCCTCCCTCTCTCTCTAAATCAATAAACATATCCTGGGATGAGGACAAAAAAATGTTTTGCTTTCAAATACTCTTGTTCTAAAATCTAAATAACTAAATAAAAATAAATTATAGTCCACTAGTGGACTTTTAATCCAAGAATGATTCAATACTGCAAGATTTTTCCTCTGTGTGTGTGTGTGTGTGTACACACACACATTCATATACATGTAAGACGATAAAAAGATCACAAATCCAGAAATTTTTAAATGACTTAGAGATGGCCTTGAAAAACTTATAGAAGAAGCATATCAACTTTATTACAGATGATATGAATAAATTAGATTGTTCCTTAAGTCAGGTATTGCATCCAAATCTTTTCAATGTTATGTTGCTGGACCTTCCCTCCAGGATCCACTGAGAAATAAAATAACTGTAATTATAAAACAGCTCTGGATAATTTTTTTTAAAGAGAAAGGTTTCTTTTAAAAAACAAGATTTTATTAATTATTTTTAGACAGAGGGGAAGGGAGGGAGAAAGAGAGGGAGAGAAACTTCAGTGTGTGGTTGCCTCTCAAGCATCCCTCACTGGGGACTTGGCCCACAACCCAGGCATATGCCCTGACTGGGAATTGAACCAGTGACCCGTTGGTTGGCAGGCCAGTGCTCAATCCACTGAGCCACACCAGACAGGACTCTGGATAATTATTAATCTTAGCACAAGAAAGAGGTATTTCATAAAACCTCTTTGGAATCATGAAAAATTTGCTATCCTTAATATAGTCTACCTAAAAATCAAGAAAAAAGATGAACATGAAAAAAATTGACAAAGGCTACGATGGACAGATCACAAAATAAATATAAAACAAATGGCCAATAAATATGATGTAGGAAAGAACACTAATAACACCAGTTGACTTATCATGGTTGAGAGAAATCTAATACTCATGTAAAATCCAAATAGCGTTAGATTCATATAAACTTTCTTGAGGCCAATGTCTCAAAATTTAGCTAAAATCTTTTTAAAAGAGGTAAATTTTTCCTTCCTAAGAATTCATGACTAAGAAATAAATGCAGAAAATTATACGAGTAAAAGTATGCAGCTTTGTTCGGATGGCAAAAAAGCAGAAACAACCTAATAGCCCAACAATCGAAAAATATTGAAACAGAAAATGGGAGATAATCGTACAACAGAATATTATGTTACTTTTAAAAATAATAAATATACTTGTAGACATGAAAAGATGTTAATTGGGGAGAAAACAGACTGAGTTGTTTCTAATCTTTTGCTCTTAAAAACATGTTTCAATATATCCTTTTAAGTCTAAGAGTACATTTAAATAAATGTATCTAATTGTGTATCAAGCTGATGGCATAACACTCAGAAACTATCTCAAGTAGGGGGAAAATTCTCAAACTCTTTTCCGTAATTATAATATGGATGGCATTATAGATGTTATTATTCTGAGATTTGTGTACACATGGGTATAAATGAAAATAGCTGTATTGGTGTTTGCTGAAAAATAGATTCTCTTCTTAGGAAAAAGAAAATTGAAATGTAAAAAACAATGAAAATAAATAAAATCTCTATGTTCCTGAATGTAAGTGGGAAGTATCAATATGAACATGAAATGTTTTTCATCTTAAAAAACAATAAATTTCTTCCACTGAAAAGGCCTAGATGTTAACTGAAAAAAAAAAAAAGGTCTTTAATATTACCTGTTACTTATCATAAAATTATCTGTTCTATGAATAAAAACAACATTGTATAATATGCATACAAAAAAATTTGGAAGGAGGCTTGGCTGGTGTGGCTTAGTTGGTGGAAGCGTCATCCCATAGATTAAAGGGTCGCAGGTTTGATTCCTAGTCAGGGCACATGCCTGAGTTGTGGGTTTGGTCCCCTGTTGGGGCACATGCAGGAGGCTACTGATTGATGTTTCTCTCACATATCAATGTTTCTCTCTCCTGCTCTCTTTCTTGCTCCCTTCCTCTCTCTTAAAAAGAAAGAAAGAGCCCTGCTACTGTGGCTCAGTGCATTGAGTGCCAGCCTGCCAACCAAAGGGTCACTGGTTCAATTCCCAGTCTCGGGTACATGCCTGGGTTGTGGGCCAGGTCCCCATTAGGGAGCGTGCAAAAGGCAACCACACATTGATGGTTCTCTCCCTCTTTCCCCCTCCCTTCCACTGTCTAAAAATAAATAAATAAAATCTTTTAAAACTATATTGGAAGGAAGGAAGGAAGGAAGGAAGGAAGGAAGGAAGGAAGGAAGGAAAGAAGGAAGGGCAAAAGATAAAAATAGGAATACATTTAAATATCTGGAAGATGATAAACCAGAGAAAGTTTTATAATTTTCCGTTACGGGAGATAATATGAGCTTATGCTCTTTATATCCTTTTTGATTTTTCTGTAATATGGACTTAGTGCTTTTATAATAAGAAAACCATGTTAGTAAAAGTCTACCTACCTTTGCATCAACAGGGAAGTTCCAATTACACAAACCTAGCCTACTTGTGGGAAGCTTCAACCCAGCCATTCCTTCACAACAATAAAAAGCAGAGCTACCTGTCCCTCCTGCCTTCACTCAAGCCGGTCTGTACTGATTTGGGTACCTGCCATGATCTTCCCAGAAAATCCTGTTATCTGACTAATACATCTTTTCACACCTTGTTAGTACATGTGTGACATTAGACTTGACATCCAAACAAATTTGGGGGGAGGGGAGTTGACCGAAGCTACACTTATACGTCAGCCGAAGCTACACTTTCAATAACTCAACACAAATAAAAACCAGTCTATGTTAAGGGACAATTCTGGGCACTGGATATAAGCATGTAAAGACAATCCCTATTTTTGTTGAGAGTTTAACTAAACTAGTCAATGATACCACTGCCTTGGCATCCATTCTGTATGACCAACCAGCCTACAGGGGCCTTGAACTCAAACTAGTCCCTCCATGAGCACATGTCCTAGATAATAGCCCTGGAGTCACAGGCAAATGGAAGTTCCTCACATGCCATCCCTAGTAGCCCATGTAAGCAACAGTCTCTGCACCTCCCAGGACCTTCCCCTTGGGCACCCCTTGGATAAGACTCCTGTGAACTTAACCAAAACCCTGACCTTTTTGGTTTGAACTGACCCACCCAGCCTTATCCCAGTAACCGCAAAACACTTCAGCCAGACCCTAATAAAGGTACATGCCCCCAGGTCCTACCATTCTCTCTGTCTGCACTTGTAGGGGCATTTGAAATATGCTGAATACTTTTTCCAGACCTGTCATAAACTTCTCTCTTTCAATTTTCCTTGTAGTCTGTTGTCGAACTGGAATTCACCATACAACATCCCAGAGCTCTACTTAAAAAATATTAATTTAACCAAGTCACCATAAACCTTCAGGGGTATTTGTTTCCCCTCAGACAGTTCCTTTATCTTGGCCAGTATGGCTTAGTTGGTGGAATAAACCTTCAGGGCTATTTGTTTCCCCTCAGACAGTTCCTTTATCATATGATAATTGCCCAAGTACTGTGACAACACATCGGATGGGGATCTAAGTTTGGCAAGTCTGAGACAAAAGAAAAAGCAAATGTGGCCTCTAGAACATGAAAGAGAAGTCTGCATTAACAGTTTGGTAAGAGCAAGAACACAAAAATCATAACCTATTCTGTGTATTGGCAAAACATTTAAAGGACTGAAGTAAATACTTTAAATGTTGCAGGCCTACAGACAAAATCAAGTATAACATGTAGGGATGTATATAACCATTTAAAGTGTAACCACTTGAAATGTAAAAAAAAACATGGTTGGTAGACTGAAAAAACAGGTGGTTAGGCAAATTTGGCTTACAGGATATAATTTGTTGACTTGCTCTATTCAAATAACTGCAATAGCTCATTAACACTTATTATGCATTGAATGTTTATGCCCCACCCCACTCTTGCTGAATTCAT